TGAGCGACTCTAACGACACAATTAATTTATTGAGATAAGCTGAGACAGGGCACTAAATGCACTTTACGATTCCGCGAAGAGCGGATCCATTTGACCAGTTGAGATCCACCAGTTGACTCATTCGGATCTTTAAGAGACGCTATGCAATCGCTTATTCCGATATGCAAATTAGCCACGAATGCGTGATGAGGTTGATGTTGTTTGATCAGAGCTTAAAAGCATCGGGTCTTTGGGGGTCTCATCTCATTTCCTTGTCTTTCACTCGTTAACAACTCAGCAAGAAAACAACATTCGGCTTTAAATGCTGCGATCAATCAATCACGAAATGCAGGTGAATCTAAGAATGGAAAACTCAATGGAAAATTACCAGGAAAATACCCTATAAAATGGAGTATTAAAATAAGCAAGTAATTCAGTACTGATTAAACTTATGTTGAAATTTCATCTGCTAAGTAAACTAAAATTGAAATAAAATCAATTCAACAGAAACTTTAATTTAACATAACTATTTTTTATATTTAATAATATAACATTCAAAACATACTCTTTCTTTATATAGCTATTATTTTTTTGTTTTATTATTTTAACAACTCGTTAAATCTGACAGCAGCAATAGAGTCCCGAGCGTTTGTGGACACGCTAGAATTGAAAAGCGATATATGGTACATGCAACTATAACAACCCCAAGCATTTCAATCTTCGTTAACATTATAAACACATCGGCCGCCCAGTTTTCCGTTCAATTTAGTTAGCTCTGAATGGAATTGGTTCAGTGACCAGAGGAAATTTGTTTGGCCGGCACAAACAGCTGATTTTTTGGCCCGGTCTGCGGACCATTTTTGGTCTCTGTGATTGGCAGGCACATGTTCACGGCATATAAGCGCTTCATTATGGCAAAATGAAAAGTGTTTCGCCTTCGTTTCTTATCCAACAAAAAAAAAAGCCATAGGAAATTATGCAAAAAACATAACGAAGAAAAGAAATCAAAGCGGGCCTTAGACAACAATACACCTTACGATTGCATCGATCGAAAAATATCAAGTGAAAGTTGACAGCTATCTAAAGATATTTTTTTAGATGTTGTTCCTGAGGTGAGATTGCATTGGAATATGAAAGAGTATCAATTTTTTGGGAGGTGCAAGCAATTATGGTAATCGAATTATGGCCAAAGGGTATAGGACTGTAAAAAAATGGGAAAGTTATCGGGATCGAAGATCATTGCAAATTCGTCGCAGTGAAATTTAATCTATTACCCAGACTTTTATAAATCAAATTTAATTTAAGGACTCTTTAAAAACATTTAATTCAAAAAAATCAATGGCGGTACAAGGAGAAAAATTTCTATAAATAAATACCTTGTTTCTTTCTTTAGAAAAACTTATCCCGCGGTCATTTCATGCAGAAAAATTCCCTGATTGAAATTCAGCTTTTTTGCTTTGCGCAACCTTCACTTCGAGCAAAGTTGGCAAATTGAAAAGCTGCCGCAATACCATTTGAATGCATTTCATTTTGTTGCTTTATTTGGTGGTGCTACAGTTTTGTTGTAGCTGATATTTTGCAGCATAATTTTTACAACATAACGCCCACAACACTTTCTCGCATAGTTAAGCGAATTATACAAAAAAACAGCAACTGGAAAAAATGCAAAAAAAGCAAGAAAAACGAAACGAAACACACAAAACACAGAAAATGAAAGAAATATTTCTGTCTAGCATTATTTTGCAATTTCCCACATAATTATTAAGCGCCATTGCAAGAGGGAGACAGGGAGAAAGAGTGAAAGGGAGATAGGGCGAGGTAGAGCGAAATGAAAGCAAACAAAAGTTACTGCCGACTTCTCAAACCAACTCAGATACACTACAAAAAATTACTATGCAATTGATATAGACGGAAATATATGCAGGGAATTGTAAATATTTAGAGTGGTTTTTAAAAGATGAACTAGATGGGTTTTCTCTTGGCCTTACCTTATAAAACCTTTATATCTATACATTTTTTTTAAAATATCAAACATCTATCAAAGTATTTTCTTTTTTTTTAAGATACAGATAAAGCCTATTCTTCCCCTTTTGTTTAGAAAATATAAAAATATATACAAAAATAAAAAATTTCTAAACCTGTAATATTTAAAGTCATAAAATTGTTTCCCGTGCTGAGACAAAAGCTGAAACCGAGACCGTGGGCCCCAGGAGTATCTTCTTCCCCACCGAGGCAGCACTGTACAGTAAATAATAATTTAATGCACGGCAAAGAGGAGAGACAGCAGACAAGCCGAGCAGAGCAAAACAGAGAGATGCTGAAAAAATGCAAATATGATAATAATAATGTAAAAAAGCACAAAAGCATGCCAGCACGTCAAGTGAAAATTAAGAAAGAGTCGTTCATGCTACACAGACAGACGAACTCAGATAAAAGCTGGGAGAAATGCACACAGATACAAGCACACACACCATTAAATGTTGGTTGTTTTCTAACAACAGACCAAAGAGAACTGTCGACTGTCTGATGAAAATTATAGCCTCAGCCAGTTGTGGAGGAAAATCAGAGCCAGCGGCAGAGTGGAATCAAAGAGACCTGATCAAAACCAGTAGACAAGGCCGGAAACAGGTGTCGTCTTTGGAGGTAAGAGCATGTAGGGAACCCTGCAAAGCCATCAAGTTCGGAACACATAAATAAGGTCTTAAGCATGCTTAACCCAAAACATGAAATATCCGTTGAGCGGGCATTACGCATTTAAGACATTCCGCGGAAGCAGTTCTTAACGCCTACAAATGATTTCCCCAACAAACATAAGCGGATAAGTGATATAAAAGTATTCTGGCATTCACAGTCTGAAACTGATTGTAATAACTGGAGTACTTACAAAACCAGCAACTCTACAAGTCAATCAGATTTATCTGTTTTGTAAAAACTTTACAAAATTAAAGATATTACTCAAATAATTCGTTTCATATAAAATTTACGTAATTTAAGCTCTGTTGCTAATAAAGTCTTTGCTTGGTAAAAAAAACCAAAACTTAAGTCTACCATCCTATTAATGACCCCAGGTGGTGGCGGTGATCTCATTTAAATATTCCGCACACCCAGATGAGCCTCAAAAGAAGCTTATAGTCTGGCATCATTATATTCATCCCATCACCCTCGACTTAAGAATTCATTATGGGATTTCAGTACGCGAAACTTTGGCAGCTGGACAAAGGTAAGTCGGATAGAAACCCCCAGAGCTTCCAATTGAATGCCGATGAATTCTGATCCCGAAGTTTCGACGAGCGGCACGTTTCCAACTGCCATAGGTAAATGAACTCTTTCCCCACCCCTTTTTTCACCTGGCGGATTGGATTCTCCTTCTAGACAAAAGCTAACGGTAACCGGGTCTAGAGAGAGAGAGAAAGAGATTTTGCGGCTTCGCAAAAGTTCGTGAGAAAACCAAGGCACAAACTGTAACAAAACTGATTACGACCAACATAATTTATGGCCAGCAGAAGCCCAGAAGAATTCTTTGTCGGACTGAGAACGTAACAAAAAAATGGAAAAGGGAAGCGAAGCTTGGAGCACCCACTGATTGATTGATTGGACCTCAAAGTTAATGCGGTTCTTATTCTGGAAATTCTGTATATTTTTTTTGTGTACCTACATACTTTGGGTATTCAATGTCAACACGAAAAAGGCGAGGGAGCAGCGAAATAAATACCAAATTGAAATACACAGAGATGACGTCAAGAGCCAAGGTAGGAGAAAATAAAACCCAAATGAATGCAGTCAAAGGTGGTTGGATGGGTTTCGAGTTTCAGTGGTCAAAAGTGAGTCTGGAAATGCCAGACGATGCTTTTGTTTCAGTTGAAAACATTTTACACTCATTTAAAAAAATAAATAAATAGCCCAGCAGGCCGGCATTCGATGAAAAAGAAGGAAAACCTGTTTCACAGTCGGGTTAATAAAAGTTTAACGAAATAGGGGTGCAAATAAGGCTTTTTAGGGGAGTCAGTCAAGGCAAAAACTATGAATCATTTACGTTGACTTTTGAGCCGGCTTTAATTCGCAGCCTTAACGAATTTTATTTGTTACGCTCAATGATTGATTTTTGATCGCACTATCACACTAAACACTTTGGGCCTTGTTTCATGACCAATTTTGGTAATTATTTTCCCCTCGAACACGAAGCGCGATCTAATCAAGATCACGAAGAACACTGAGAACGCGAAGAACGGAGAACGAGCGGCACGTTAGCATTGAAAACCCGCCGCCAACTGAAGATACAAACTACAGGCAAAAGCCAAATGCCGTTTCATCGATACCAGATACATTTGTATTTACAACTTCACACACACTAAACTCGCTCTTTGCCATGGAATAAAACGCTTAGCGAGCAGCTGGCTGCTGGTCGTTGAAAAGCCGGTTCGCGGCTTAAAACTTTGAGCATTCTACTTGGTAGTTTTTAAGTTTGGTTTCAAGAAAACTAAGTTTATTTCGCTGTGAGAGCTAGTTTTTTGAATCTCTTAGGTTGCTTTTGTACATGTTGCAGCAACATTACCTGCTTGGTCATTACCTGCTTGGTCACACTGCTTGGCACTGCTTGTGAATAAGCAGGTGAGATCAGAATGTTTTGAAATAAAAAGCATACTTTTAGGATGGCTTTTAAGTAAAACTTGTGTAGAATAGGTTTTTTTTTTCGTCGAAAATGGATTGCATATTTTCTTTGGGTTCCCAGTTTAGTTAAGTTAAAAACATATCAGTTATATCAGATTAATTTATATCATTATTAAACCCAGAACTAAAAGTAGTGTGTATTTTAATAAAATATATTTTTGTTATATTAGTCAGGGTCTTAATAATGAGTTAAGATAGACGTTCCATAATATAACTAAGAATCTCTTTCAAACAAAAATAAATTGAATGAAGCAAATTCTTTGGTGAATGATATTTTAAGGAGTTTCTCAATTGCTTCCACTATTTGAATAGTGTATTAAAATTTGAATAATATTGAAATTTAGTATACTTACGCAGCTGAGTGTTTGCCAATAGCTTCGGTGATCCGCTCCCAGAAACAGAGGACGTTGCCCGAGATGTTGTGCCAACAATTCCGCCACCGCCGTTGCACATCAAACTCAAGTCGCTGTGCGAACTCTTGTGGCTGTCCTTACTGTACGAGCGACCACTGTAAAGGAAGACAGAAATCAACCATTAGTTGCGATTTCAAATTTATTACTCAACAATTTACTTCTCAATAAGACGGCCAAATTGCGCCTTCAAGAAACATAAAATTAATTCAGTAAAAATAATCCCATCAAAAATTAAAACTTTTTTGGTTGGTCATCTTTTTTTTACTTCTTTCTACCAACATTTTCCGTAACTTTTCCAACAATCTCAAAACTTTGCAACGCGGCGGTACTTAAAAATTCACAAAGCTGTGAAATTATTGCAAGCATTCTTCAAGCGTCGCTGAGCAATCACAAAACAGAAACAAACAAAGATGGTGAAAATTGGAAAATCAATTGGAAAGACGCGTCAAATTTATTCACTACCTCTTTACATTAAGTGGGTGAAATTTCCTTTTCGTCGCCGTTGTAAAACTATTTTTAATTCGCTTGCATTTTTTTACGAACGACTTCCGCCGACAGCTCGCTAATTGAAAATTTTACAAAAATAAAAATGGAAAATTTTCAGCAGGAAACAGCACAAAGAAAAAACGAGAGTGGCCAAAAGGAATTAGCATTGCCAACTGCGTTTCCGTTGGCCGGCAACATAACTATAATTTTTTCGCTCATCCTGCAATTGCAAAAAGTAGTTTGTCGTTTGTCCCAGCAGCCGAAAGACATTTTTCACTATTATTTATTTACTCTTTTTCCGGCGAGTGCTGCACAACTTGGAAAAACATTAAATACCATTTCTTATCGCAATTAAATGCAATTATAAACAGTTGTTAATGCGTGCGTACTCAAGCGATCATATTGTCGTTGGTTAGGTTTTTTTAAGGATTTTAAACTATGTCACATGGCTGTTAATAAGTCTCAAACACAACAAGAAATTTATAACTGAAAAAAATAGAAGTTACAGTGCATAACATTGAAAAACGTAAGTACACTGTAAGTTTCCATTTCCATCTAAATGTATATGAAATGTATTAACTAGATGAACTTAATTTTGATTTAAATCCTCATCTCAAAACTTTGCCTTTCAACCTAGAGTACAAATAGCATAGGTAACTTCTTTCCTAAATATTTTTCGCGAAAACTTTTTTAACTTGAAAACAAATATTTATTCCAGGCACAAGAAAAAAACAAAGACGCTAAAGAGTCGAGTATAAGTAAACTTTCCCACCTCCTAAATCAACATTACTTCAGAATATTTAATTTTTTTGTCGGCAACTCGACAAGCAAAATAAAAGCGAACACAAATCAATTTCACTGCGAAAACTATGCCAAGTCATTCAGAGTTTTTGCACCGAACATTGTTTACCGGCAAGCCCAGCTACCGTTTGGCAATACATTATTTTCACTGCCAAGGTTTGCTTTCTGTGTCACCCGTGTTGGCCATTTAAGGCGCCGCCTTGGCCATTGCAAAAAATAAAAGAGCCAAGCCCCAAAGAAAAGCGAACACTTCCGCCAGTAAGAAACGAGTTCATCAGTGCTGGTAACAAGTGTTCGTAATAAATGTGGAGTTTTAAGGCATTATTAAAGCCCAGAAAAAAGGGGGGAGGAAAGTCAACGACTGACCGGTAAATAGATTTAATTATGCAAAACGTAAAACGAATCCATCGACACGCTGAAAAATTCACTCAAGCGTTAAACATTGGCGGAAATCGAGCGAGAGAATCGATTGAGTTTGCCAGAAGGAGAAGGCTATTCAGATTACTCGCCTTATAAACAAATTGTACATTTTTAATAGCCCAACGAGACGATGTGGCCGTGTCTTCGCCTTAATCCCGTGACGTAGTTATAAATATTTATTAAATCATCTCCATTCCAACCACAGACAAACTGCAAAAGCGGTCGACGACGAACTGAGGAGCTGTTGCAATTGCACTGGTTTGTAATTAAAATGCATTATTAATGAAATGCAAATGTCGAGACATTAATGAAAGCGATAGGGAGACGAGCAACCAAATTCAGCACATGCGGAAGCACGTATACTCTGGCTAAGGAAAATACCTCCAGGTAATATCTAACAAAGGTGTAAATATATATTTTATAACGATGATATATTATACAAATATTCAAGAAAATATAGGAATAAGGTATTTAATGGTAATCCCTATCTTGTTAAAATAATGATCCTTTATATTCTGAGAATAAAAAGTGATGGAAAGTATTAAACTAGCTGACATTAAAAGTGTAATTCTTTAGCCAAACAGAAACTTTGATATTTATAATTTTCTTAACATAAATTACAACTGTATTGCAATATACTCGACACACCACTCTTCCGATATACCCTTATTAAAATGGGGAACTCAAGGTGCAATAGACAGTCCCAGAATATATACCCAACGCTATAAGGGAATGGCACACACAAAATCCCACCCTACATTTTCACCTGTCGTGCGATTTCCCGATCCGAGTCCACACCTATGAGTCTCATTTGTCAACGCTTCGGGTTGTGCAATCACGCTTACCCTTTCACCGATGTTGCCACCACTTTGCAGGTAAATTTCTGGTCGGGACGATGATATTTCACGGCGTTTCCGTTCCAAACCCCGCCAGCCATCAGGGTCATTAGTGTCAGCATTCCCTTCCTTTTCCAGGAGTGTGCAATATATGATAGTTTCGCGTACGTTTTAGGTCGAAGTTAGGTTTATTATTATTTTAAGCGTTTTAAGAAAAATTAATATACAAATATATAAGGTCACTTTATTGGATATTGTTTTGACTATAGGAGCAATGCTATCTTTTGTTTTTAGTTTGCAAAGAAAAATATGTTATATTGAACACCTATAGAAATTTGCCATAAAGTTATGTTTGGGACTTTGCCAGGATTTCACTTTTACAATTACAAACTAGAAAAAAACATTTTCTTTAGTTTGATTATGAAAGAGCTTAAATTCCACAATTGTATGCTACTTCTGCAACCTGGGTCAGGTTTTATTGCACAATTCCCACAGCAATCCGAATCCCCTTTCTCCTTATAACACTTGTAAATGTTCACTTTTACAAGGTGACAATTAATTCCTTCTTTTTTTTGCAAATAGATGCCACCGGCTGCATTTTAATTGCCACAGCAACGAGGATAGAGACAACATTAAAAGCCATGACAAAATCCATAAAAATTCTGACAACTGAGCACCTATTTCCCTATTGCTTTTTCCAGCTTTTTGTCGTTATTTTTTGTGATATGGCACTTGGCCAGGAAAGCAATTGATCTTTGCCCTTTCGCTTGGCGAAAGAGTTATTCAAATGCAAAAAGAAAATGACGAGGGCAATTAAGCGACTTCCTCTCTTCGTCAGCAAAAGCCGAATCAACTTCGAATTGCAGTTTCCTCAATAATTCGTGGTTATTTCTGTGGCAGCCATCCATCTATGTCCATCCCTCTGTCCTCTTGCATATATTATGCAACTGTTTGCCATCTCCCTCAATTGCAGTCCGAGCAGAAACAATTCGTACTCTTAATGAGCTTCCATTAAACTTAATTGCAGTTGGAGTTCTGTTTGCTATCTGCTTTGTTTGTACATGCAGATGGCAGTGGGAGAGCTGAGTTGGCTTTATGATTGGTGAGTTGGCTTTATGATTGGTCGTTGGCAAACTGAAATGCATACGTTCGAGGAATATAGTCCCCCTAAACAACGGATTTCTTCCCGACTTTTGCGGCATATTTCATTTAATTGAGATTCGCCCAGTACACGCACTGCGTCCAGGGATATACACAAAATATGCAGATTTCAATATTATGTCTTTAAAAAAATAGGTAAAAACTGAAAAATAATTATTCTTACCGCACTGGTTTTATATTTTAGATAGGCTCGCACATTTTATATAAAACAAACTAATAAACTTAAAGAAATTATTCAAAAATTAGTAGAACTAGTAGAATTCCCAGTCGAATTATATTTGAGCCGGTAAATTATGATTATCGATAAGTCCTCTTTTGGCCAAAATACAACCGAAAAGTTGGGTATTTTAATTGCAATGTCTGAGTGCCTTTGAATTTTAAGCTCACATTGAAGCATTACATATACATTTTGTACTGGAGTATTCCTTTTGCATACTTTCACTTGGTCATAGCCAATTTGATTTAATAGCAACTGCCACTGATTGCACTTCGCGGTTGCCCTCTTAACCTCAAAAGAATGTTCTGCGAATGTAGAATAATTAAATTGTTCACTTCCTTTGCGGAGAACGGCACAATGAGTTCATTATGCGAGTTCTTGCACATTTATTTACGGTTTTTATCATGCGAAAATTCTCATTAATCAATTCTTTTGTTCTGGAAAATAACTAGGTGACCCTTTGTTTTTAATTATGCTGAAATATAATTGCTCCACCCACGACTAATAATAAAGATTTCAAAGAGTGAAATGGAATTTTGAGGAAGGCTCAGGAAAAATCTTTGAAATACTTGTATTTTACCATTTATTCGATTTCACGCAAAGTAAATTCTGTGGCAACAACCAGACTAACGACTTCACTAGACAAGCACAATGAGTGTTTTAATCTAACCAACCAAACCAGACGAGAATCGGGGAAAACAAGCAGCTTTTGTTTAACGCATGAGTTATTAATGAACATTAGCACTATTTGACGTCGTTGCAGACCTCAGACGACAAGCCATCGTCACGAAATGGTAACAATAACGACACTCAACTGGAGTGCAGTGCTCCAAAGTGGTCGCAATGAAGCCGGAGACACTCAAGCCGAGAACTAAAGAACTCTAATGAGAGTCGACCCGAAGCTGAAGTGGGTTTAAATCAGTTTAAGTAACTGGAAGTAGAAGTGGCCCACTTAGTTTAAATTAAAACAAATCTCAAGCTAATTTTATACACCTCAACCTATCAACAAATGGAATATTTCTCTTTACTTATTTTAATGATTTTTATACAAGTACATGAAGCTGACAACAAAATTTAATTTTAAGTGTGTAAACGTAGGATTAAGCAATAATAACGTTTTATTTTAAAGTTAGTTTTTAAATTCACATAGAAATAGGCTTTAGTGATAATTTTA